CGAGCTGCGCAGTGCAGCCAAACAATGACCATAGTCTTTAAAAATCACAGCAGATTACATAGTCACCGTCTTTAATTTATTAATAAGTATTTTGAAATAATGGGTTTTGGTTCCTATCCCTCTGGTTTCATTTTCTAGATGGTGTGAACAGGTGTCGTTTCTGTGGTCTGTGGTCTAGAGTGCTCATTTTGAAGGAGGGAAACCTGATGATCAGAGAAATAACGTGATCAGCCCAAGAACACACGTGCACTCTCCGCTAGACTAACGTGCTTTTCACCCAGGACAGCAGCTGCGATGTAGAACTCGGGAACAGTGGACTAGGTGGCCTTTCTTACGATCTGCTGACATCCACTAGGGGTACTCATAACATGGCACGGGGCCTACTTAACCAACTCATACACAGTGTCTCTTGGTACTTAAAAGAGGTAGTAGTTTCTAGAATTTCCCCTCTGTGCCCCTTCCCCTAGCAATTTCCCAAAGCTTATCTCTTGCATCACCAGCCTTTCAACATACACCAAGGGAGAAATTTCAGTGGTTAAAGAAATTCGAAAGATGCCACACACTGCATCCCTCTTGTAGCTACTCATCATGCATTCTGGAATACAGAAGGCTTTGCAGTGTCTTTCAAGAAGAAGCACTGAACTTCCTTTAATCAGGTGTATCCAAAGTCATCTGATTAGGGAACCATTTGTCCATGTAAACCTGTAATTTGCAAGCAACATATTTTGAGAAATCCTGTCTAAAACTTGTGTAAGTTGAAGAGATATATACATTGGGAAGGAATTTAGAATAAATGTGTAGGAAATAGAGCAAGAGATCTCTCTCTAGATACTTGTGTGACAATTCTTAGGATCTCCACCAAATATTCCTTATGGCTGATTAGCAGGGGCGGAATACTAAGCTGGACTGGCCAGACTTTTCACTCTTTAGGATCTTTCTTTTTTTTTTTTTTTTTTTTTTTTGTGGTACACGGGCCTCTCACTGCTGTGGCCTCTCCCGTTGCGGAGCACAGGCTCCGGACGCTCAGGCTCAGCGGCCATGGCTCACGGGCCCAGCCGCTCCGCGGCACGTGGGATCTTCCCGGCCTGGGGCACGAACCCGTGTCCCCTGCATGGGCAGGCGGACTCTCAACCACTGCGCCACCAGGGAAGCCCCATTAGGATCTTTCTTAATTGTGAGGGTGTAGGTGACTGTTTTTTGTGTATAGGTATGTGAGCGAAAGGGGGAGAGAGGGAGAGCATGTGTGTATGTCCCGGAGAATCAGATGGCTTAAAAAAGAAAAAAAAGTACTGGGCTCACAATCAGAAGGCCCGATATGTTTCGGCCTTTGTCATGGATGTGAGATGTGACATCTTCTCCACTAGTGAGTATGGGTGTTATTGCACAAACCCCATCCCTCTGTCACAAGGCAGGCCTTTAGTACCCAGCGGGCCTCCCTGTACACTGGGGATCTCAGCAAATACTGTCTGAAGGTGAAGAGGGGGAGGTTGTCAGGCTGATGACGTAACGTCTAAGCGTTTGGGTCACCGCAGGGGGAGCAGAGTGTTTGGTCCAAAGGGCTGTCATTCCTGGGGGAGATAGGAATGGGTTGTCTAACACCCTACAGCAACCATGCAGCGCAGCCTGATGGGCCATGCAGGATGCTGGTAGTTAGATGCTCCTGTAATGAAGACCCTCTGGTTTTGAATAACAGACACTATCTTTGGGCCAGCTTAAGAAAAAAAAGAAAATATATTGGGTAGATATTTCAGCATCTGATGGAATTTAAACACTTGGAACAGCCAAAGCTTCAGAAACTTCAGAAGCATGATGGCTCAAGGCATCTGCTTTTCACTCTCAGTTTATGTGAGCCTCAGCTCTAATTTTGGGTGAAATGTCCACTCTAGGCCATTTAGTTATGATATATCGGCTTGTTCGGCAGAGTGTGGCAACACCTTGATCTCATGGAAAATGGGTCTTTTCCTCCAGCCCCAGGGGATGCAGTGTGACACTATAAACCAGTCACCGTGATCTCATTGCCCTGTGTCAGGAACTGGTCTAGGGGTGGCCTTGTGACCCAGTACTAAGGTAGGAGATGTAAATAGAAGGGGGCTGGATAGAGATTCTGGAAAAGCTTTTATTTTCCCAATAAGAAGGAACAACAAATTCACAAGGCACGGCTCTTTCTCCCTTTGCTTTTCCCTTCTTGGAGTTCAGACATGCTGCCTGGTGGTGCCGCAGTCATCTTGTGACTGTGATGTGACAAACCAGATGAAAGTTGTGTGCTAGGAGCAGGGATTTTAAAGGAGGGAGAGGCAAGATGTCTTTACAGCAGGGCTGCCACACTGACACCGGGCCCAACGCCTCCCGATTTGTTCTCGAGAAAAATGATAACCCCTTCGTTGAAATTACAGTATACTACAATAGGTTGTTGTTATTGTTGTTACTTTGCAACCAAAATCATTCCTAAAATATAGATGTCGGGAGCCAATCCCTATGGGTCAGAGAGTGATTCTCAGATCTTTAATGGGGGAGAGGACAGAGGATGGCTCATGAAATGGGGAGAGGTGTCTATGAAAGCTCCCCTGGAGCCGTGAATTCTTACCACTGCTACACAGCATGGAGAGGGGAGCTCTCTTTGGGCTGGTCCACACCTGTCCTAGATGGAATTAACTCATTAACTAATGCATTCATTTTGCTAATTTTTTATTGATCCCTTATTATCTGCTAGATATTTTTCTAGGTATTGAGAGCAGGTTGGAGAAGACACAGGAGACGTTGGTTCTCATTAACGTTTTACAGGGGAAATAGACAATAAACCAGAGAAATAAATGAACAGAACCATTCCAGATAATGAGAAGTGCTATATGAAATATAAAATGGAGTGTTGTGATAGAGAGTTTGGGAGGGTGTGTGCATAGAAGGCTTAAGGAAGCGATACTGGAAATAAAACTTGAATTGCAGAAAGGAGCCAGCTGTGTGAGACCCGGGGGCCAGGCTTTTCAGAAGGGAACAGCCAGTGCAGAGGCCCTTAGGCAGGGATGAGCACAGCCTGCTAGAGGCACAGACTGAATTATTAATGGGCGTCCAGTGCATAGTGATTCGGGAGGCCACCCGTGCTCATCTCATTGTGACCGCACTGGCCACTCAGCTTGCGGGCGTTATGATGGATCTCCAGGCTGCTGACAGGGCTCCATGCTGCACAGGTGACTGTTCCTATCATCTGCTTCAGGCTGGGATGGGATGGCTGGGGGAGGGTCCATGTAACAGACTGTGATCAGAGCGACTGATCATGCCCTTTCCCTTTGAGAATGGACCCATCGTTCTCAACCACAGCACGTAGGCTCCCCAGGGGGCTGGCTTCCCCTGGAATGGGTCAACCCTATTCTGGAGGGGCTGGGAAAGCATTCACCTGGCACACAGCTGCTTCAGGACCACACTCCAGTCACTCCCTCAAGTTACATTTGCCACATTTGACGTGTCTGCCTGTGGAAGGACATGGCTCTGGCTCCCAGCCTGCTATGCCCGGTCATACCCAACATCGTCTTCAAGTGATACTTATCAGTGAAGCAGTCACATGAGATCATAGGGCTAGAAGCTCCCTCAAAGGTCGTCGTGTCCTGCATTCCTCATGTGTCTGGCATTACCCAGAACAAAAGTGCTGGAATGCCACCACCCCCATTTCTAGCAGGTTCCCTGCTAAACCAGATACCCACCTGGTTCCAGTGCAGAATCCAGTTCTCTTTAACACATAAACTTGGGGGCAATGAATCATATCTTGGAGCTGTTAGATTTTCCCATGGGTCCTGTGGGATTGGTGGGACCCTAGGCATGTGTTCACCTTAAGAGGGTAAGGTGGTCCGCAAGTAGCCAAACTACCATTTAAAAACTCTGGTTCACTTCTCCTAGTTCTGGGATGAAACAAATCACACAGTATGAAAGTTGGAAGAGACTTCAGTGATTAGTATCCCTCCTCTTATAGATGGGGAAAGAAAAGGGAAAATGACTTAACCAAGGTTAATATTAATTCTACAATAGAAGGCTTTTGGGCATTCACATGAGTCTTTCATACATGTTTACAGCATTTTGTTGTTTCCCTTTGACTTGTGGAATAAAGGGAAAACAAGTTCCTGGGTCAACAGTGTGAATGTGTACAATCACAGTTCTCTGTGCCTCTATTTGATTCGACTCTTACTACCTGTGTAGCAGGAATTCTTTTTCTCATTTCACACATGAGGAAGGTGAGGAAAATGAATCCATGCAGTTAGTTAAGTGGCAATACTGAACTCAAGCTTAAGACTTCTGACTTTTATCTGATATCATTTCCAAGTCCATCTCCATTTTCATTCTCTGGGGGTTGAGGGGCATAACAGAAATTAGCCATAACTTAGGTAGGGTGGAATACACAGGAGCCCTGAAGCTAATGTTCTAGGTTGCTACGAGCCCTAAGGAAAGGATTCTGATTTTTATCAAACCACTGTCACCTTCACTGGTGTGTGAATACTTCCCTCTTAGACCCCCTGTATCTGAAGTAGAGGCCCCATGGCTCCTAACATAACCTGGTGCTGTCATTTCAATAGCTGCCTTCAGTTATTTTTAAATAGCACCTCCTGGATAAAGTGTGGCATGTATTACAAGCCCAGGCTGTTAGAACCAACTGCCTAGGTTCAAATCCTGGCTCTACCACTTCTTCTGGGTGACCTGAGGGATATTACTTAAGCTTCTGGTATCTATCTCACTTTTCTTATCTGTAAAATGGGCTAGCAATAGTGCCTTCCCGAGAAGAGTAGGTGTTCAGTAAATGTTAGTTGTTGCTATATTGGCTCTCGAGACAGCAGGAGGAATTCTGTCACAGATCTGAGTTTTCTCCAGCAGTATGAAAAGAATACTTTCATAGCTCATGATAACAGGTAGGCATTCCAGGGTGAGAAGTATCTAAAAACATATACAGTTTACTCCTTGACTCCAGAGAAGGTTTGTTCCAGGCACTCTACTACAAGAGTTATCTTCTTCTCCAACAGTGGGAAGCTTTGGTTCATGCACCTGAAAAGCTGACCCGGAAGTTATGCTTAGAGAAGAAAAAGAGGGAAGAGCCTCTTAGGTAACTTGAAGAGCATCAAGGATCCAATGATAAAAACCACTGCCCTGAAGTGACGTGTGCTACTTTCAGCTGAGGGTTCAACTGCTGACATGACACCCTCGAGATCTCTCTTTTTCTCCTCTGCCATCACATCCCAAAATTCTCCGGAGTGGATGCTTCATCAGCGTGGGTTTGGAGCTAAGATGATGATGATACTGAGGAGAGCCTGGGGCAGACTCACTATGAAAAATAAACTTTTATTGTTTTAAGCCACTGAAGAAAACAGAAAACACTGCCCTGAACTTTCCAAGGTGTAATAAATCTCTCTGCATAAGACTCTGCAGTCATTGCCAAGGTATCATTTGTCTTCTTGTTTTTGTCTTAAAATAGACTAGAAAAAATGCTAACAAACCCCTTCCCATTAGATTGTGTATTTGCACTTAAAGGCTATGAAATGCCATTATTTCAAGCTCTTCCCATCATCTAAAATAACCCCCCTGTGTGTTTTATGGTTCCTGAGCAGTATTGATTGTGACTGACTTTGTCTATTTCCTCACGTGCAAATGATTCTCCCTCTCCTTTCTGTTTCTCTCTCTCTCTTTTTTTGCATATACTTTTTGGATGTTTAGACCATCTCTCTACCAGCCTTTCAGTGGCTCAGCACTTTGTTGCAATGCATGAGCGAAGCTGGAAAACAGAGCCAAGTGACAAACTGTGAAGCAACAGCTCAGCCTCACAGAGCAAGTGCGCTTTGTGCTCTTTCTGGCCAGGGCAGATGTGGCCTTGATGGGCCGTGAGGAAGAGTATCTCTCAGGTAAAAATAAGTTACTAAGATTAACACCAAAATGATGTAAATCCTGCATCTGCAGGCAGATCCTGAACTGAGAGCCACGTGGAAAGAGGACTGGAATGGAAATCAGATTCGGGGTCCTGCTTGGGTTTCTTCCAGATGACCCCACCCGTCAGCCATCTGGTCTCAGGTAAGTATCTGTGACTTACAAAAAAATTTTTTTTTAATCCACAACAACAAATAGGGAGAATATAATAACAGAACTGTGTGTGCCACCATTGAGTTCTAGGCAATCCTGACATTTGGACGAGTTCGCTTCAGACCTAGCTGAGTTTTTTGTGGATTCCTCCTTAACCCCATTTCCCTTCCTCCTACCCCAGAGCTTAACACTGTCCTGAATTTGCGTGCTTTCATACTTCTTCCGTATATATGTTTTCAACAATAGGAACTCTTGTTTTGCATGTTTTAAAACATTAAATAACTTTAAATACAACGTGCATATCATTCTGCACCTTTTTTTTTTTTAGCATTAGATTTCAGCAGCAAAGCTCTGATCCGTTCATTTTAACTACTATATATTGTAATGATTTGTGAACAGACGTCGGTCTGTCTATCTATCTATCCATCTATATCTATCTCCATTCTCCTGTTGATGAATAATTAGATTGTTTCTAATTTTGCACTATGATAAACAATGCTTCGATGAGTGTTCTTGTTTATGTCCTGTACTGACATACAAAAGCTTCTCAAAAATAGCATTTTTTCAAAATGTTTTGTCTACGCCCACAGTTAAACATACACTTTACATGGAAACCCAGCACATACATGTGCTACATTTCTGTGTCTGTGTGTATACACAGTGTATGTGTAATAAAATTGCTCAGAATAATTACTCACCCTTGTTGTCTATTCAGCTATAATCCAGTTTGGTCTGGTCTATTTCACACACCAAAAAATATGCTGTTTGCAATTTACTAAATGATTCCATGACCCAGTGGTTCATCTCCACTGTTCTGGGGTCCACACTTGGACATGGAATTGCTGGGTCTTACGTTATAGCCATTTTCAAATTGAGGAATTTATGCCTTTGTGAGTTCATTTGATGCATTTAAATGGATATTTGCATTTAGCCAGCATTGTAGGGGTTTCTAAGATGCGGCTTTTTGAGTTATTTAGTGGCTGGAAATGGAAGTCCCGTTTTAGCTTTCCGGGCTTCAATTTGTTCATCTGTCACAAGAAGCGGAAACAAAACAAAAATAGTGGACTCTTCAGTGTTTTGCAGACTGCTTTCTTTTCAGCCCCAAGGTCCTGGGGAGGGGTTCAGGGTCTGCCGTAACATGTGTAAGCTGTGGGGAGAGAGGGGCTAGGGTAGCGAAAGGAAGAGAATGAGTAGGTGGAATTCTGGGCCTTTCGCAACAGTCCCTACCCAAGGAGCTCATTTTGATATTTATCCATTGTATTTCCATTGTGTCCAGCTTGAAAATATTCTTAAACTATAGGTTTAGATATTCTCCAACGCTCTTTCCAGATCTAAACTGGAATGAAAATAGCTTTTGAGTCTCTGGACCATTTAAAATTGCAGCCAGAATTAGAGAACATGATGGCTTAGGGCATGGGGCGTTGGCAAATAGTGTCGGTTAACCCAAGTTCTTTGCGGATTTCTGCCACTGTAGAATCTGACTTGTAAAGGATGCTTTCAGAGTCCTGTGGGGCAGTGAGTTTGGGGCACTCTTGGGCTGGGGCTGCCTCTTTGGGGACAGCCATTTCTACCCTGTCCCATGGGCTTCATCCACATGAGGCTGCTTTAAAGAATTTGGGGGTTTTTTTCAGTATAGTTGATTTAAAGTGTTGTGTTAGTTTGAGGTGTATAGCAAAATGATTCAGTTTTATATATATATAAAATATAAACATTGTGTGTTTTTTATATATATATATATATATATATATATATATATATATATATTCTTTTTCAGATTCTTTTCCATTATAGGTATTGCAAGATATTGAATATAGTTCCCTGTGCTATACAGTGTATCTTTGTTGTTTATCTGTTTTATATATAGTAGTGTGTATCTGTTATTCCCAAACTCCTGATTTATTCCTTCAGCTCATGCGCGCCCCCTTCCCCCTTTGGTAACCATAAGTTTGTTTTCTATGTCTGTCAGTCTGTTTGTGGTTTGTAAATGTTTGTCTAATTTTTTTCCACATATAAGTGATATCATATGATATTTGTCTTTCTCTGTAAAAAAAAAAGTTGCTTTGTTTTCACTGGCTTGTTTATTTGGTGAATAAGGGCCTAATATAAATTTCTCTGAGCTCCATTTCTGCCCTGCAAACCGTCCTACAGGCTCACGGTAAAGCTCATTTACTCAGCAGGGCACACATACAGTTAAATCCTTATATTCACAGAGAGGAAATTTTATTGTCATTTTAATGACAGTATTCAGCTCCTTGTGGGTTGATTTTTGCCTTCCCAAATAGGAGATGAGCCTAAAAAACTGGTGGTAACTTGGTAGTAAAGTGACTTCCGGGTGGCATAGGTTAATTCATAGAGAATCCTGGTTCCTGCCCCTAATCCCCATGCTTTCTCTCTCGCTCTCCCTGCCTTCCAACGCCCAGAAGACTGCCTCCCCTGGTCCCTCCCTTTGATTTGTCCCACTTGCATTTCATCTTCCTTAATCACTGTTTTCATCACATCACTCCATTGCTCAGAAACCCTCCAGGGATTTTTATTTCCCACCACATCAAATCTAAACGCGGTGGCCTGTTTTCAAGGCTTCTCCTAACCTATTCTTTCCTCGCGTCTCCAGCTTTATTTCCTTTGCCAGATGTGGTTCTGGTTCCTGTGGTTTAGAGATAATGGAATTTTTGTACACACTCACACACAAAAATTGAAATCTGCGTCATTTTTCTTAAGCACAGTTCAGCCTAGTTCCCTTACACAAAGCGCACATCAGCAGTGATGGCTCACTTCCCCCTCCCCCAGGCCACGTGAGCGAGACCGAGGGGTCCTCTGGGGGCAGCGTGTGGAGGAAAACAGTTTAGGCCCCCACTCTGTCTCCGTATCCTGGGAGAAGATTAGGCACTGAGAAAGGTGACTTTTCACTGGAGTGGCTTGTGAAAAGCGCTGCCATTTTGACGAGACAGGCAGGATGCAAGTAGCTTAGAAGGCAAGTATGAAAGATACGAAATTTCAAGCCAGAAGGAGTTGGTTCAGAAACTTGGAAAGAGGTACCCCCTGGATAAGGCAAAACTCAGCAGATCAAGAAGCCCCAGAAAAGATGCTGGTGAGGTTGGTAAAGGAGATTCAAGGGTAGGTCTACCTATCGAAGTAGGCCTATAATATCTGTGAATATAGTTTATTTTTGACTTTTTATTTATTACGCAATGTGTGTGTACATCTAATTGTCATTTACTTTGTTTTTCAGTAACTATTTCGGTAAGTCCTGGCTCTTCCACTTAGTAGCTGTATGATTTGAGGCACGTTTCTTTATCCATAAAGCGGAGGTTATAATGCTGCCTAGTATATGGGGTTGTTGTGAGGACTCAACAAGATAATACATTTAGAGAGCATAGAACGAGGTCCAAGACAAAAATATTAGCCATTATTCCTATCACCGTTATTACTGTAAGTACACATAAGCTGCTCTACATTTGAGCAGCTGCTAAAATTCCACCTTCTCTCAAAATACCTTCAGGTCAGTTTCGTTGAACAAACATTTGCTGAGTGCTCAATATATCTCTGGCACTGATGCAACACTGACGAAACTACCAGCGAGAAATTGAGCTCGCCCTTGAGTAGCTTGCCTTCCAGTAGGGAAGACAAACCCATAAGCAGATTATTTCAGTTTAAGGCTTGGCTGTCCAGTGCAGTCACTACTAGCCATGAGTGGCTATTAATTAAGCTTTTGAAATGTGGCTGGTCCGAATTGAGATGTGCTGTACATGTAAAATACACAGTGGATTTTGGAGACTTGAAATGGTAAAAGAATGTAAAATACCTAATTAATAGTTTTTAATATGATATTGATTACCTGTTGAAATGATAACATTCTGGATATGCTGGGCTAAATAAAACACATAATTAAAGTTAATTTCAGCTGTTTCTTTTTAATTTTTTTTAAAAACTGTGCTACTAAAAAAATTACGTGGCTCCCGTTAAAGATTTCTGTTGGATAGCACTTAGTCTAAGATGATACAATGGAAGTTCAAACGGGGTGTAGGAGGGAGGCATGTCATGCAGCCTGGGGTTGAAGGAAGGCTTCCTGAAGGAGCAGATGCATCCTGAGCTGAATCTTAAAGGATGAGCAGAGGTTATCCAGGCAACGACAAATCTAAAGGGCATTCCAGATGGAGGTAACAGGAAGGCGTGGAAAGGATGGTGTTTATGAGGCACTGGAAGCAGTTGGTTATTCCACAGCATAAAGTATGGTGAGTTGGGGACTGGAAGAAAAAGCTACCAGAGAAGTGAGGTCTAATTTTCCCATCATTTAACATCTAGCTGTCATTAAATGCTCTGGTTCTTGTCTTATACTTGAGGTCTGGTTATGTTTCCACTATTGTTTGAAGTTTTAGACTATCAGCCGTGGAGAGTTGGAAAGTTATGTCTGTACAAGAATAGGGTTTTCCCAGAGGACGGGACTAATGAATGCACACATGATACTTGGAAGGCAGGATGCCATTGTCCCCTCTGCAGTGAGTCCTAAAGGTGGAAAGGCAGCCTAAAATTGCTGCCTAGAGTGTAGGACTAGTGAATGAGAATCAATATAGGACGGCAGAGCTTTTGATTTGCTCTCATTCGTTGGGTTCAAGGAGAGTATACATGGCTGCACTCACACTCATTGACCTGTGAATGGATGTCAGTAGGACTCCTCCCCCTATAAATGTCCACCAATAAGAAATACAATCATTCGTCAGATTATATTAATTTGGAAGTGCATTATACCATTCTATCACAAATCACCCTCGGGTCTTCTGCCATTACTAACTAATTATTACGTGGTTATTTAGTAGACCATGAAAGAGCACGTGGAAGAGGAGTAGCAAAAGAAGACTCTGAAAACCGAAGCAGATGGAGAAACTGGAGAGTTAGAGAGTATCTTCCAGGTCTGCTTCTCACTCATTAATACACATAAGAATTACATGGGACCTTGTGAAAATACAGGTTCTGATTCATTAGGTTTAGGGATGGAAGCAACAAACCGCACTTTTTATCAAGCTCCCCGGTGATGTTAATGCCACCGGCCCACAGACCTCACTTTGAGCTGCAAGGTCTTAGAGTCTGTTTAGTCCAGTCCTTTACCCAGGGCTGCAATCTCCATTGCAACAGCCCTGGAAAGTAATTGGAAGCCTCTGCAGGAAGACCTCTGGTGTGCCTCACCTCCTGTTCCTTTGTGGGGTGAGTCTTATTGTTGGAAGAGTTTTGCCTTGTCCCTAGATGCTATCTGGGAAATTTCTGTGCATTGGTCCTTGATCTATTTTTGGAACCACTACAATAATGAATCTAATCTCTCTTTCTCATGATAGCCACTTGGAAATTTGAAGAGCGTTTGTATCTTCCCCTTAACTCTACTCTTCAATGGGTTAAATCTCCTCATCTCCTTTAGCTATTAATCACAGAACCCTCTGGACTCTCCCAGGAAACAGTGTACCTCTCCTAAAGTGTACCTCTCACAATATTCCAAGCTTTGTCCAAACATCAAGATGTAAAATGGGTTTATTAGCTCCCTAGCTGTTGATTCTCTGCTTCTGCCGGCGAGTCCTCAGTCTTGGCTGGTTGGCAGCCATGTGAGACTTTAGATTCAGAATGAACTTGGTTGATGAGGAAAAGCCCTGTTTTTTCTTGCTGTTGATTCATCTAGCACTTCCGGAGTTTATTTTTATTTTTTAAAAAAGAAGCTGTGATGACTTCTTTTCTGGTTATGAAATAAATATTTGGAAATGTGGAAAATGTGAACAAGCAAAATGACCATTATGAACATGTTGACGTACGTAAGCCTAATTGTTTTTATGCACAGGGATGCGTGTGTACTGTCAGTGGCGTTTTGCAGTGGCACTGAACCATCCTCTGTGAACATGTTTCATACAACATTTTTATTAGCTACATATTTAATCATATCAAAACTTCGTAGATTATGCAACTAGTTCCCTGCTGTTGGACATTTAGGTTTTGATTTTTTTTTTGTCATTGTGATCAATGCTTTAATAAACATCCATGAACCTAAATTTTTTTATTTTCATTTTTTTATTGAACTACAGTTGATGTACAGTATTGTGTTAGTTTCATGTGTACAGCAAAGTGATTCCGTTTTTATATATATATATTCTTCTTCAGATTCTTTTCCATTATAGGTTATTATAAGATGTTGAATATAGTTCCTTATGCTATACAGTAAATCCTTGTTGCTTATCTATTTTACGTATAGTACTGTGTATCTGTTCATCTCAAGCTCCTAATATATCCCTCCTCTCTGCCCTTTCTCATTTGGTAATCATGTTTGTTTTCCATGTCTGTGAGTCAAGAACCTAAATATATATACATTTTTTATTAAGGTAAGTTCGTAGGAGTGAAATTACTGAGCTAAAAGATAGTTGTTTCGTTTGTTTGTATATGTCATATTGTCTTCTAGAAACATTGTAGTAATATGGATGTGTTACTAGCAACAATAAGAACACTGATTTTTCTACACACTTGCACTCATAATCATAAAAAAGTCTGATGGTTTGAAGAACAAAAACAAATGATATTCCATTGTTTTATTTGCATTTTAATAACTAGTGAGAGTGAACATTTTTTTGCTTGTCTATTGCCATTTTAACTTTATCTTTTGGAGAACTATTCATATCTGTTGCTCATTTTTCTGTTAGGGCATTTTTATTTTTCTTAATGGCTTGATGGCTTAGAGTAGTTATTTTAGTGCAAAGAATATTTATCCCAAACAATTTTCTCAGTTGTATTTGCTTTTTAGTTTTGTATTTCATTATAACTGGATGTGTTCTGGATTATGTCTTCTGTCAGATTATTCTTGATTTATAGAAAAGTTATATTTTTGTGTGTGTGTGTGTGTATGTGTTATTTAACTGGTAAGCTTGCTAAACGTCCATATTCATTTGAAATGTGTTCTAAGTTAATCTTGAATTTCGTATCTTTTTCTTGTCTTATTGTATTAGCTAGAAATTCAAGAACAGTGCTACATAATAGTGGTGGTAATGGGCATCCTTGCTTTGTTCCTGACTTTAGGAATACCTTAAAGTTTAATTATTAAACATGATACTGGCTTTTGGTGTGAGATATGTGTTAAAACAAGTATGTATTTGCTAAGTAAATATCCATTTATTAGATATTTTTACAATTTTAAAATTTAACAGTAATTCCTGAATTTTATCAAATATTTTTTAGCATCTGTTTATATGAATGTGGTCTCTCTCTCAGGAGCTCTCTGTCTCTCTTGAAACAATTGCAAATTTGGAGAAAAGTTGTGAGTACAGTACAAATGACTATTTTTCCAGAATCATTTGAGAGTTTGCTGCTGACATAATACCCATCAACTCTAAATACTTTTGCGTATATTTTCTACAAACAAGAAATATTCTCTTGCATTACCAAGATACAACCACCAAAACTAAACACCAAAACATTACTATCATCTAATCTGTAGATCCCATTCAAGTTCTGTCAAATGTCCCAGCCACTTCGCAATGACACCCAGTTCAGAATCACATGCTGTCCATACAAAAAAATTATACACAAATGTTTATAGCAGCATTATTCATGATAGTCCAAAAATGGAAGCAACTCAAATGTTTATCAATTGATAAATAGGTAAATGAAATGTGGTATCTCCATGCAATGGAATATTATTCAGCCAGAAAAGAAGGATTGAAGTGCTGATACATGATACAAGGTTCATGGATGAACCTTGAAAATATTATGCTAAGCAAAAGAAACCAGTTAGAGGAGATCACATATGATATGATTCCATTTATATGAAAGGCCCAGAATAGGCAAATCCATAGACTGAAAGTAGATTAGTATTACCTAGGGATTGGGGGGTGTTGGGAGAGGGAATGGGGGTGACTACTAATGGGTGCAAGGTTTCTTTTGGGGTGATAAAAATATTCTTAAATGGTGGTGATGGTGGCACATCTCTGTGAATGTAGTAAAAAAACATTGAAATGTATACTTTGAAAGGGTGAAATTTATGTGGTGTGAATTCTATCTTCATAAGGCTGTTATTAAAGAAAGGACTTGTATGTTGCATTTACTTCTCATGTCCCTTTGGTCTCCTTCAATATGGAACAATTGTGCAGTCTTTTCTGGGCTTTATTGACCTTGACACTTTTGAAAATTATGGGCCAGTTCTTTTGTAGATTGTTCCTCAATTTTAGGTTGTGTTCTTCACATTGTATCTTATCAAGTGGTACATGATTTCGATTTGTCCCATTACTGATGACGTTCAATTTGATCAGTTGATTAAGGTGTTATCTGTCAGATTTCTCTCCTGTGGAGTTATTCCTTTCCCTTTTAAATAATTTTATTTTGTGGAAAGATACCTTGAAAGGGTATAAAAATCCCATTCTTTATCAAAGGTGTATTCATTTATTATGTTAGTGTGAACCCATGCTTTCATATTTAATGTGTCATGTTATGATCCATTACTCAAATTAATTTTTTGATGTCAAATTATCCCAGATTTGACCCACGGGAGCCCGTCAAGCTGGTATCTGTGTCCTTTTAGTGTATCCCCTTCATTCCGTGAATGATCCCTTACTCTCTGGTATAAGAAGATGCTCTAGTTCATTTTGTACTTTGCCTTCCCCAGCCCTAGAATCAGCCATTTTCCCAAGAAGCCCCAGTTCCTCTTAGGAGAAAATGTTATTTAGAAACTAAGAGTTGATCTCTAAGGTATGCTCGCTGCTTTTGGGGTTTCACTGCTCCAAACCCCTCTCAGTGGACTGAGCTAGAGGATATATGTAGGTTTCTGTGTACCTACACACACACTTATATGTATGTGATTTTCTGTATTATCTGTGTTTGTCCATCCACCCATATGTCAAAAACCATGACTTTATAGAGATACTTTTACCCCATTCCAACTCCATAAGTTTGAGTGTTCTGCGTTTCCACATTTGTAGCTCCCTCCTCTGAGAGTAAGAAATCTGACTTTCGTTATCAGTAAGGGCGTTACCTATGTGATGAAACCCTGTGTAAAACCAGTCTTCCATCTACCACCACTGTTCTCTCCTCTGTGTTTGCCCTTCTCACCACACTCAAGTTCTAACACACACCCATTTCTTCTTGGCCCTAGCTACTGGCTTTTGGATTGAATTGGTCAGGAAGGGAAGGGGGACAAGGTGAGAAGGAGGAGAAAACTGTTTTTCTCTTTTGACTTATGATTTAGTGAATTATACTAATAGGTTTTTCTAATATTGACTCATCCTTGGACTTTTGCAATGTGCCCTGCTTTGATTTCTCTACTCTTTCATTTAAGATTTCTTGATAAGTTTTTTTTTAACATTTTAATTTTATTGGAATATAGTTGATTTGCCATGTTGTGTTAGTTTCAGGTGTACAGCAAAGTGATTCAGTTATACATATACATATATTCATTCTTTTTTAGATTCTTTTCTTATATAGGTTATCACAGAATATTGAGTAGCGTTCCCTGTGCTACACAGTAGGTCCTTGTCGGTTATCTATCTTATATATAGTAGTGTGTGTCTGTTCATCCTAAACTCCTGATTTATCCCTCCCACATTTCGCTTTTGGTAACTGTAAGTTTTCCATATCTGTAAGTCTGTTGCTGTTTTGTAAATAAGTTCATTTGTATCTTTTTTTAAAAATTAGATTCCACATATGAGTGAGATCATATGATATTCATCATTCTGTGTCTGACTTTCTGCAACATGGATTGACCTAGAGATTATCATACTAAGTGAAGTAAGTCAAGGTTTCTTGATAAGTTATTTTGCTCATCTGAAAAAGCCTTGACATGCTAGAAATTTTCTTAGACATTCCCTTAATTTCATTCTCTTTGATTTCTACAGGGGGAATACATGGCTTTCTCCTCACTTCTTTGCATTTTTCCAGTGCCTTTGAAAGTACCACCAGAATGATGGCTGCATTTTCAGTGGTGGAAATTATTGCTATGTCTCAGAAGCAAGGAATCACAGGATGTCTACTTTCCAGTGGTGATATATGACTCTCATAAATGAAAGCCACACCATCATTTATAACACCCTAATGAGTTTTTTTCATAGAGACAGAACAGAGATTCCTAATGTTTCTTGGAACTTCCCAAAAAACAGGGCAAGAAAAAGAAATTCAACTAAATGCCTGTTTGTTAGCCCAGCATTGGAAGGGAGCAGCCTTAAAGAATAATTGGTGAGTAAACCCACACCAATACCACTATCCTTCATCTCCTTCAGATCAGCCTGACGCAAAAGAATTTGTTGGAGCCCACAATCTTCTTTTAAGCCAAGAAGATTAATTGAAAAGATAAATATGCTTTGCGAAGCACTTGTATTTTGAGGAGAGATGGAATTGGGGAAGTGCCACGTAGACGTCTATCATTCTGCAAATCATGATTATTGTCAGTGACCTGAAACCTGGAGCATGTTATGAGGGTTAAATAATGTCCATAGTTTTGCTCTCCGGGAATGGTTTCGTTCCCCACCTGATCGTTACCACACTGCCTTGAGTCTTTTAGGCCTAAAGTACATAAGTTGCTTATATTTATCTGGGTAGTTGGTTAATTTTGGAGATAACCACCTTGCAGGTATGATTTTCTTCTGCTGACAGAGAACAAAGCCTGGATTCTTATCCTTTTTATGTTTCATTATTCATGCTTTCTTCCTCAGCTCCTACCAACCCCCCTACCAGTTCTGTTTAAAGAAGATATTATTTATTATATATGTATGTAGATTCCTCCAGAAAGATCTAGCTATGCCCAGGTTTGCTTGTGTGAATACACATATACCCACAGTATAAGTGTACTTCAGTATGTTTTTTTTTCCCTTGACCAGGTCGCTCCTAAGAAAACATTAATATAACAAAAGCTGTCAAAAGATATGAAGGAAGAAAGGATGGTACTTTTTGATTATGAGGTATGAATTTATTTTTGCACGAACACTTGACCACTGGGGAACTGTGCCTTCCTGTGAAATGGATGCTCCAGCCGTGCCATTGGCTCTGGTGACCCACAGAGAGGGTAATCCAATTATCCAGGTAAAGAAATGTCTGAAAACAAAGAATAAATAGCAGTTATATTTTGGAATTAAGCTCATTCATGAAACTGGTAGGTCACATTCATTTCAGAAGTACATCAATTAGAATACTGTGTGAGGCTGTGATTAAAACATTCATTCATTTGTTCATTCAACAAATATTTATTGAGAGCCTTCCATGCGCTAGACACTGTCCTAGGTGCTGGGGGTGTATTAATAAGCAAAGACAAACATGGTCCTTGCTGGTAAATTTAACAACTGGTTTTCCAGAAACAAAAGCCCTGTCTTTTGAGTATTTGCCAGTTTCAAGGTCTCCATGTTCTGCATTACCTGGCACAGAGTCAGAACTCAAACATGGCAACCATCGTCATCATCTTTCTGTCTTGATCATAATTCTCATCAATATTATGTATGATGATTGTGCTTTAACAACATACTAAAAAGAAACTCATCATCTACGGAGGTAACTGTCCAAGACATGTGTTTAGGAGTGTGTGAGTGTGTGCGTACAAAGGTAAAGAAAAGCAGAGAAGGGTCTGAAAGGATGCACACTGGATTTGGTATGGTTACCTCAAAAAGATGTGGGATTGAGTGGAAGTTAACTATCAAAGTGGGACTTTTTTTCTTTTCTTTTACTAAAAATCTGTAGTTTGAATTTTCATGAGTATGGATTAATTTTATAATTTTTAAAGAAAATTTGCACTGTCCAAGTTAAACAAGCATAGCTCTCTCACATGATGGCAGTCCAACAGTGACCAAATGCCTAGTAGATAAAGGGCGGTTATTATGGGAGAGTCAGGTACCATAATATATGAATCATTGTAGATGGAGTCATCGTTAAATGATTGTTAGGTGGTTTTCCTGGCGAAAAGTGACTTCAGCTGTTGACAGAAGATGAAATAGAATCAAGACACTTGACAAGTATTCCAGTTGCTGTAGAACAAACCACTCCAAAACAGCAACTTAAAATAATGACAGTGTTTATTTTGCTCACAGATTTGCAGGTGGGGTGGGGTGGGGTGTGTGGGGTGGGGTGGGGTGGGTGGGGACATTTTGTCCCTTCTCTGCTTGGCATCAGGTGGGGTGACTGGCGGGCGGAAGGTGGAATCATCTGAAGGGCACTCACTCGCGTGTCTGGTGGTTGATGCTGACCGTTGGCTGGGACCAACGTGGGGCCGTGGCTGGAACACCTACGTGTGGTCCTTCATACGGCTGCTCATCTTCCCCACAGTATGGTGGCTGGGTTCCAAAGGTGAGTGTCCCAAGAGAGAGCCAGGTGGAAGCTGTATCAGCTTTTATGACCTAACCTTGAAAGTCACACAGCATCACTTCCTTCACATTCTCTTACTCAAGGTGGTCGCAAAGCATTGCCCAGGTGCCGAGAGAGGAAAACTGGACTCTCTCTCTTGATGGGTAAGTAGCAAGTTCTACAAGAACATGTGGGACTGGAAATACTAACGTGGCCATTTTTGGAAAATACAACGTGCCCCAATAAGTCCTCTCCTTTCTAATGTGGTCTGTACTACATACGTACAGAGCAAATATGGAAACTTGCCCAGATCCTCTTGGCTGCCCTGCTACATGTGAGTATGTTGCAGTTTCACCTTTACTCCAAAAACCATATTCATGCATTGTGAAAGCTGTAAATTCTTATGTGAGAAACAAAAAGAATTTTAGTATTATAAGATTCTATTTCCCACGCTTAGCACAACCATGGTTTTTAAAACAATCTCCCTGTGTACTGTCAAATTTGCCTTAACCTAAAAGGGAGATTGACACATTACAGGGATGGGGAAAGTCTACCTTTATTGGTTGGACTCAGGAAGCTGGTGGGTTTGTATTATTTTTATCTCTGAGCTTACTTGTCAAATACAACAAAAGATAGAACACAGAAGAGAGATTCATGGAAATGAATGGTTTGCAATGGAATTTCAAATATTCTTCTTAAATGCACGTTGGTGTTATTACCTACCAGCCACGCTATTCAAGACTATGTTAAGTCTGTTTATTTTTAAAATTTTATTTTATTTATTTTTGGCTGCGTTGGGTCTTCGTTGCTGCGCACGGGCTTTCTCTAGTTGAGGCGAGCGGGGGCTACTCTTCGTTGCAGTGCGCGGGCTTCTCATTGCGGTGGCTTCTCTTGTTTCGGAGCCCGGGCTCTAGGTGCGCGGGCTTCAGTACTTGTGGCACACGGGCTTAGTTGCTCCGCAGCACGTGGGGTCTTCCTGGACCAGGTCTCTAACCCGTGTCTGGCAGGCAGATTCTTAACCACTGCACCACCAAGGAAGTCCCAAGGCTATGTTAAGTTTAATATGTTGAGAGTCAGATGCCATTCTCATTTTTTGTTAAGGTTTGAGTCAACTTACTCATTTGTATCCCTAGTGTCCTTGGTTCCCACTGGGGCATGCATGCATAGAAAACATATTTACATAGAGTGGCACTTAGAGAATTGTCAGAAAACATCCAATTAATGGAGTCTACTAAGTTCAAATCTACTTTATGGTATGAATTATTCTCCCCAAATCAGCTGTAAATTAGATCTGCAGGGATTCTAATTTTTAAAAACTCTATTACTCTTAATTTTTATTTCTTTGAACATAACCAAGTTCTTTCCTCATTGAAGATGTGGTCATCATGTAACCAAAGTCTTAAAAACTAAGGTCTTTTGGTGATTGACATGTGAAACAAACAAAAAAGAAAAAAACCAGACTTTCACATTGCCTTTTAAAGTGTGAAAAATAGCTTGTATCCATGGTTGGGTAAATCAGTCAAATTGAATTGTAACAAAGTTTTGCCTCCTAATATTTTCTTGTTTAGACTCAAGACAACCATAAGACATTTCGTTTTAGCTCAGTCAACATTTTATTCTTCAGAAATTTGTTAAAGACTTGAAACTTTTTCCAGTCTGTTCTCTCCCACCACTACAGCGCCAAAGTAACAAAAGGAGCAAGGTCAGTGCCTGTATCTTCCCTGAAACTGACAGCATAAATGGAATTCAAATATTGTGAGCCCAGATTCTTATGTTCATTGATGTATCCTTGTAAAGAACATTTACTGATATGTCCAGCTCAGACAATTATGCGAACCATTAGCCAAGACAATAAACATGGTTGTTCTTCAGCTCACCTGGGGGAGCTTTTATAAAATGCTGATTCTTTGTTCCACTCCCCGAAGATGTTGGCTCACAGGCCAAGTATGAGGCCAAGGAATCTATACTCTACAAAAGTCCCTCTTATGATTCTGGGCATCAGCCCATGGTGAGAATGACTGAATGAGAATTTGCTAACTTTTAAAGTAACTTTTGTGAAGTAAGATGTTTTGCCTTGATAGGGTTTTTATAGCTCAAAACAAAGTGATATTATGTTTGAATTTCTATCCTTGTTACATTTTACAATAGGAATTCAGGCTTTATCTAAACTTTCATATATTGACTTTACAGTAGAAGCTATAGCTTTATTAAAAAAAAGGGGGGGAGATTTAGTTCATAACTCTCATCATTATTTCCGTCTCTAGCTTTGTATTTGGGCTGAAATATATTTTATATGTAAATAATGTTATATATAATAATAATGATTACTATCATTATCTGGTAAAATTTTTCTTTTACATCCTTTAGGCTCCTCTAGCTGGAACTCATGAAGTAAATGAAGAACTACAAACAATTTATTATGGTTAGAGGATATGAATGGGGCATGCCTCGTAAAAGTGGAAATTTTTGTATAGAGCCACAAAGGATACCTAAGATTTCTACAGATAGAGGAAACAGAATAAACAAAGGCACAGATGCTTGAACTTGCCTGGCACATTCAAGGATGTAGGTAAGCGTAGCCAGGGTACGAGATAATGGGAGATATCCATGGCTTAAAATATTCAATCTTCAGCAGTGGGGGCAAAGAATTCTGTCTCGGTTCTATTTCCAATTGTCTGGAGTGGCTTTTTGAAAAAGTATGTTAAGGTGGATTCTGAGGATGCATCTGGCTCTGAGGTTGATTAGGGATCAGCTATGGCCAGAAGACCGGGCAACAGAAAATCAGTGTATTTTCTAGTCCTAGTCTGGGTGCTGTACCTTTTGGGCATGTATTCTTGATCTTAGTGTTTTCTTCCACACTTTCTCTTAATTTGGTATATACATTCAATGTCTTTGTCCTGCTTTTAATTCTCCCTGTGGTATCTTAGATTATATATTGATCTTTGAGGGGTTCATGAAATACTGATCCTTTGAGAAAGGTGTTTTGCCTTTGGCTGCCCTTCTAACCCTATGGGTGGGCACTGTGAGTGGACTTTGCTGGAACATATTGAAGTGGTGAGAACCAGATGACTACAACCCAGTGTTTGCTTCTGAATTTCTGAATCAGCGATCGAGTCAAAGGGTGACTGATGAACTGTTAAGCTGATTTGCTGCATTTATGGATTTCCATTTAAAAGCCGATGGGGCACAGACATATGTTTCTCTAGAAGAAAGAGCTAACATAGAAATTAGGTCCTACTTCAGTTTTACCAAGAAAAGTTTACACTGATTGTCAAAGCACCTGTATTATTATACATGTAAATATTGATTGATCTAATCAATTTACCAGTTTTCAGAAACAAATCTGAATACTTAACATGCTGCAAGGAAATTTTAAAATGCATATTTACTTCTTCAAAACTAATTTCTGTGAAAGCTCTTTTTGTTGTTCCCACTTTTTTTGGTTACATCTAGCAGTCTCACTTGGACAAAATATATAGGCTCTTCATTAATACTACTTGAAGACTTTATATTTAATTAGCATGTGCTTTCACTTCTAAGGCTTTCTTGGGGCCACATTTTAACACTCTGAAATCGGGCTATGTGCATTGTAATCCCTGTGAACATTTCGTGTCGCATTTTCCATGTCTTTTCCTTCTCTGGCCTCCCCATACCAAAAAGCTGTTAATAAATCTATGCTGCTTCTTGGCTATTTTAGAATCAAGGAAGTGTGGAAAGTGCATGCGAGGATGGATGACTTTCTTTGATTTTGCCAAAAGGAGAGAATGAGAACTTGATAAATAAGGCAGAAGAAGAATTGCTTTGACTGGAGATTTCGAAACCATCTCTCCTCTTCCCCTGCATTTTGAATGGGGCTCCGTGAACATCTGAAAGCTGGAAGTGGGTCATGACTTTTTCTGCAGTGTCTTAAAGGAGCAAAAAATGATGTATCAGCTGCTTACAATCACTTTATTTCCAGTGTTTTAAAATTGGTTTAGTAAGCTAATGACGTCAATCATTGCTGGTGCTAGACGGAACATTTTTACCTAGAGATTAAAAACCTTAGAAAGTTAAGTCTTTTCTAAAAATTTTTATACTGGAGTACAGTTGATTAACAATGTTGTGTTAGTTTCAGTTTCAGGTGTACAGCACAGTGATTCAGTTATACATGTATCCATTCTTTTTCTAATTCTTTCCCCTTTTAGGTTATTACAGAAGATTGAGCAGAGTCCCCTGTGCTGTACAGCAGTGTGTATATGCTCTGCCCCTCTGTCTCCTGCATACCCACTGCCACTGTCCAGACTTCCCGCATCCTTCTCCAGGACACTTCAGGTAATGCCTGTGTTCATTCACTATCCTGCAGAGAATGTTCTTCCTCCAATATTCTCCATTCAGGTGAGCTCACCAGTTTTCAGAAAAACAGGTATGATCTTTATTTAAATATAGTTGATTTATAATGATGTGTTAGTTTCAGGTACACAGAAAAGTGATTCAGATATATATATAGATATATTCTTTTTTAGATTCTTTTCCATGATAGGTTATTATAAGATATTGAGTATAGTTCCCTGTGCTATGCAGTAGGTCCTTGTTTGTTATGTATTTTATATATAGTAGTGTGTATATTTTAATCCCAAACTCCAATTTATCCCTGCCCCCCACTTTTCCTCTTTGGTAACCGTAAATTTGTTTTCTAAGTCTGTGAATCTGTTTCATAAATAAGTTCATTTGTACCATTTTTTTAGATTCCACATATAAGCGATATATATTTGACTTTCTCTGACTTACTTCACGTAGTATGATAATCTCCAGGGCCATCCATGTTGCTGCAAATGGTATTATTTCATTCTTTTCTATGGATGAGTAGTATTCCATTGTGTGTATGTACCACATCTTCCATTCATCTGTTGATGGACACTGAGGCTGCTTCCAGGGCTTGGCTATTGTAAATAGTGCTTCAGTGAACATTTGGGGTGCGTGTATCTTTTCTTTTTTGAATTTTATTTATTTTATACAGCAGGTTCTTATTAATCTCCCAGTTCATCCCACCACCACCACCCACCGCCCCTGCTTTCTCCCCTTGGTGTCCATACGTTTGTTCTCCACATCTGTGTCTCCGTTTCTACCTTGCAAACTGGTTCATCTGTACCATTTTTGTAGATTCCACATATATGCGTTAACATACAACAACATTTGTTTTTCTCTTTCTGACTTACTTCACTCTGTATGACAGTCTCTAGGTCCATCCACGTCTCTACGAATGACCCAATTTCGTGCCTTTTTATGGCTGAGTAATATTCCATCAGATATATGTACCACATCTTCTTTATCCATTCATCTGTCAATGGACATTTAGGTTGTTTCCATCTCCTGGCTATTGTAAATAGAGCTGCAATGAACATTTTGGTACATGACTCTTTTTGAATTATGGTTTTCTCAGGGTATATGCCCAGCAGTGGGATTGCTGGGTCGTATGGTAGCTCTATTTTTAGTTTTTTAAGGAACCTCCATACTGTTCTCCATAGTGGCTGTATCAATTCACATTCCCACCAACAGTGCAGGAGGGTTCCCTTTTCTCCACACCCACTCCAGCATTTATTGTTTGTAGATTTTTTGATGATGGCCATTCTGACCGGTGTGAGGTGATACTTCCTTGTAACTTTGATTTGCATTCCTCTAATGATTAGTGATGTTGAGAATCTAGCCATCTGTATTTCTTCTCTGGAGAAATGTCTATTTAGGTCTTCAGCCCATTCTTTGATTGGGTTGTTTTTTTGATATTGAGCTGCATGAGCTGCTTGTAAATTTTGGAGATTAATTCCTTGTCAGTTGCTTTGTGAATATTTTCTCCCACGCTGTAGGTTGTCTTCTCGTTTTGTTTATGGTTTCCTTTACTGTGCAAAAAGCCTTGGAGTTTAATTAGGTTCCATTTGTTTATTTTTGTTTTTATTTCCATTACTCTAGGAGACAGATCCAAGATGATATTGCTGCCTCTGTTTTCCTCTAAGAGTTTTAGAGTATCAGGTCCTACATTTAGGTCTGTAATCCATTTTGAGGTTATTTTTGTGTATGGTGTTACAGAATGTTCTAATTTCAGGGAATTTTAAAGGTTGTCCCATCCTGCCATATCCTGTAAAAACCTTCTTCCAGCTTTAGGTCCGGAGTTCTGCTTGATATTTCCTCAGCCTCATGAATATGGGAAGTTCTTAGCCACTTCCTGCCCCATGACTTCTGACCTTAGAGCAGCAACCTTTAAGCCAAGTTAAATTTTCTAGTTGCCATAGACAGATAAGTTGCTTAATGCTCAGCAAGGCATAGGAGATATTTGGGGCTCAGACAGACTGCAGTTCAAGCCTCAGTTCTGCCATGTCTTAGCTGTGTGACTGGTCAGGTTACTCAACCTCTCTGAGCCTTATTCATTTATTCACATCATTCCAAAAATCATCAGTATAAAGGAGGCTTGCACATCTAGAAAGCGCCAGCTGTGGCCTGGATGCTGAGTGTACGTTGCCAAACAAAACGGACATATGGTTCCTGCTCTCTAAGAGCTTAGCTCGGGAGGATACTTGAGAATGAGTTGCCAGTGACACTCCAGAGCATACGTTCTCCGGTAGGTTAGCCCAGGCTTGGAGATGCAGGCAAAACTTCTGGAGAAATTACACCAAAGCTGAAGTGCGAAGAATCACTCGGGGTAGTCAGGTGGTGAGGAATAATCACGAGGGCCTTAACTTTCTTCCCTGTAAAATAGAGACACACCTACATAGAAACCATGAATCTAACACGCCAGAACTGTGCCTCGCAGGTCAGTCTTGGGCCAGAAAACATGTAGTGAATAGGTACCATCCTAGGCAGTGGGGATGGGAAAGTGAGTAGGTTGCTGTCTCTGTGCTCCTGGGTCTTAGAGGCTTGAGGTCTACCTCTAGCTGCGTAGGGCTGCCTCTATTACCGCTCTTGTCCCACTGTATATTGTACTTGCCTGTTGTCATGTCTGAGTCTTGAGACCATGAGCTTAGTGAGGCCAGGAATGCTTCTCTCTTATCCACTGTCATATCTCCAACGCTGAGCAGCTCCTAGTGGACCTTTGCTCTTCTTATCCGCCGTGGCTGATGTGGTAGGTTCCCTGTCACATCATCTCTCCCTCACCTTTTCAGCTTACACCTGCCCAACTTTCAGCTGCTCTCCCCACTGCTTTTATTTGCCTGAAGGTTTGCTCTGGCCGATGAGGGCCACTCAGCTCACTAGTAGGGGAGGGAAGCCGGGAGTGCAGGAGAATTAGGGCCCACCCCAGCTGCTCTCAGCAGCTTGGGGTAGAGCTGGTGTATAAATAACTCAGCTCCTAGGCCCTGGAATGACTCTGAGACATGTCTTCTACACTGGCTCCAAGTCCCCCGTAGAGGATTTAGATCTAGTTACCTCATAGCAATAACCCGATTGATACGTTACCCTCCCTTCCTTTCCCCACTTCCTTACCAGTGATTCCTGGGATTTTCACAACTCCCAAAGAAACCACTTACACTTGAATCCTTGTCTCAAGGTCTACTCAGGCATCCAAATCTCTATCGTATGTTTAGGGAATTCTGCCTATAAAGAGCCCATCTCCCATGACAGGAATGGAAAATGTCAGATACACTTGTGGCCAGGGTTGGGCACAGGACCTGGGCATTGAGCATTAGATGTACCCATCTCCACACTCTCTAAATTGGAAGCTCATGTCATGAAGAAGTAGGAGATGCCCAGATTTGATTCTGTTGACAGATGGCAGCAGGGACAACAGTTTGAACGGCACCTTGCAGCATCCAGTGTTGCTGGTACACATGGCACGACCCAAGACATCGAGCATGGCTTCCCCCACACAGTGTCGCCTGGAGATTTTCGAGCACTGTTCTTTCCCTTGTAGTCTCGGAGCCGGGTCCTGGGGTCCTCTCGGAGATTCTTTGATCTCTCCAATAGCTTTCGTGGTAAAATCCTTTCCTGCCAACGTGTCAAGGGTGGTTTCTGTAGCTTGTAACTAAGAATGGTGTCTGTGTCAGTCAGGATAGAGCCAGGAAAACAGTCCTCTAAATCTTGCACGCAGATGGGGTTTAATAATTTAATACAGATAATAGGTTAGAAGGGTGATGGAAAAGCTGGCAAGCCAAACAGGGAGAAAGGAAGCAACTCACAGGTCGGTAATAGCTGGAAGCTGCTACCACCACTAGGGCTGGAGGGGCAGTGGAGGAAGGGAACCCATCATCTGACAGGAGCTAGAGGGTTGACCAGTGAGATCCAGGAGCTGAAGCTCACAGGAAGGATGGGCAAGAGGGAGAGAAAGAAATATCTGGTCTTCTTTCTTTTTCCCTCCCTCCAATTTTACACCGTACCTCCCATAAGTTGGAAGTAATCACCAGAAGCTAGAGGGCAAGGGAGCCTATAGCACACAGCAGAACAGGGCAAGAGCCAGAAATAGACCTGAAAGCCGACAGGCAATTGCCATGCCCATGTGCTAGGAGTTCAAGTGCTCTTTGGCTGAATGAGTGAAGAGAATAACCAAGGAGAGGGCTGGCACCAGAATCTTGTGCTGTACCAACTCTTAAAAGAATAGGGAAATGAGAGGATTTCCCTTAAGAAGAAGCAATCGGAGAGAAAGGAGGAAAATGAGGCAAGAGTAAGGCCCTGGATGTCTTGGCTCTGAAGCAATCAACTCTGCCAGGCTCCTAACTGGACACCCACCAACTAGACCTGTGAATTATTCATCGAGTCTAGACAGGAGACTCAGAGCACTTATCCAGGAGCTTTGAGTATCATAGCTTCTAATCCAGGCTATTCCCTGGGTAACGTGGGTTATTAAGTGAGGATAACAGTGCTTGCCAACTTTCATTGGGCAAGGTAAGAAACAACGAATAATGAAGAGTTTTAAATACTTGGCATCTTGATAACCAAGAGATGAGCGCATTCACTCACAGTTTGAATTGATGGTATCGTCCTCGATGAATTCCATGAATAAATGGAATGTAATCTCTTTGTTAGTGGCAGTGCATAAGAGGAAGCAAAGGTCTGTGTTTGCATTTGTGAGAAGGAGCATGGTATACAGGCAAAGCTTCTAGGCCATGATAAATATTTGTTCCCTTCCTCAGTCTCCCTTCTTTTTATCATAGCTGTAACCTAGAGGGAAAAAAGTGAGAAAGTGAAGTACTGTCTAGAAAAAATGGCTGGGGTGAATCCCTTTTATAGGAAAATGCTTAAAACACCAAACATCCATGGGCATTGTAAATCCAAGGCCATTTACTCAGGATTTCAGATGTTCTAAAAAAAAATTCATCTGCACTTATTTTGTTTCTTCAGTGTGAGGAATGAGGAGGTGAGGAATCCTCACTTCCCATGGGTGCCGTGAAACGTCTACTGGTTTCTATTTTCTGTGGGATTTCATTCTCAGGTGGTGTCTTGGTGTTTCTGTGGCCCAAGCAAGGAGTCCCGAGACTATAGCACACTTTTGACACGGTTGGAAATATGATCACCTCGAGGCCCATTGCAAAAGGAGCCGGGCCTCTGCCATGGGTCAGCAGCAGCCAGGAGGGTTGCCAAGATACAGTACAAAACACAAGACCCTACATCTCCCTCTGGGTTTCTGCAGCAGCTTTCTTGAACTCAGCTGTTGAAATTTCACTTCCTTCACTGAAATCCAAACACATCTGTCCCCCCAGATAGGAAAGTGCTTATTAAGTGACTTCCTCCATGCTGGCTAGGCTTGTGGCTTTATTCAGCCCTTACAGAGTGTGTGGGGGCTTCCCTGGTGGCGCAGTGGTTGAGAGTCCGCCTGCCGATGCAGGGGACGCGGGTTCGTGCCCCGGTCCGGGAGATCCCACATGCCGCGGAGCGGCTGGGCCCGTGAGCCGTGGCCGCTGAGCCTGCGCGTCCGGAACCTGTGCTCCGCAACGGGAGAGGCCCGCGTACCGCAAAAAAAAAAAAAAAAAAAGACAAGACAGTGTGGGAGCTGAGTACCACAAGGATACCTGAGTACCAGGGATGAAGGCAAAGCCCAGGGATGGGTCACTGGGGTGGAAGCGTGCCAGCCAGCACTGATACCTGGGGGCGGTCGTCAGGGTACTCACCGCTTGGCTTGGCTTTGAAACATCAGCTGGAGCCCAGGCAATATCAGGTCTCACTTAAGCTTCACCCTCTACGCCGTCTCTCTCATTCTTCTACTTGTCATGGACACAATCCTTTTCATCTGTTTAATTTCAGAGCACAACAGGGATATTGATTGCTTTATTTATGTGTTGGTCAGGTGCCTTCAAATATCAATTTTGTCATGACTTGCTGTTTTAGAAACTATGATTTCAAACCAAAATGTAATTTTTTAAAAAAATGAATGGTGGTAGTGTCGAGCCAAGCTTATCCTATGTCCTAGGCGGTGGAGGTCAAAAAGGGAAGCTCTCCCCTATGAATTTTTAGGATTGGGTTGCCCTTCAGGCCCTATTCCAGACCAGAAAAGAACCTTCCCAGAATAGGCGAGACCCATGTTCGGGGTTTGTATGATGGAATGCTAAGGAGGGCAACTCTTCCCTTCCTAGCATTGTTCCCAGCAGTGCCAACCCCATGGTGGACCCCCTCACCCTCAGATCCCTCGTGGAAGCTGGTGCTCTGGAAACCCAGAAGCAGAGCAGCCCCTGGTCCCCCTGCATCTGTCTCACTCACTCAGTCACTTATTACCCAAAGGGCCATCATTACCCATGTCCTGTTCTTTCAGGACTATTTTAAACATATTTCTTCATTCATGTTAATATTCCTCATTCTACATAGAATGCCTACCTCTGAGGTAGGTCATATCCCTTTACCCTTCCTCCATCCTTCTAATTTTTTACACTACAGTTTTTACTATTTGTGTTATCTGACAATGGAATATTCACTGTTGAGCCGAGTCTATTATCATTATGCTTCCTTTCTTATTCAATTGTTTTTTTTTTTCCCTAGAGCTGATAAATTACTTATGTTTTAGAAATGTACTTACTTTTCTCTGTACACGTTGTTAATGTTTTTTCAGTCCCTCCGAGAGCCTGTAATATTCAAAACACTATTTTAACACATTAAGTAATGTGTAAAAATTTAAAAATTTAATTTTTTAAGAAGCTCTGTGCGGTAGGTACGTCACGATCCACATTTTATAGACGGGAAACATGAAGCACTGGGAGGCTGCCTGTGCTCTTTCTCCTGCATGTCCCTGTGCTCTCATTTTCCTCTGGATTTTGCTTGTTTACTATACCTGTACCTGCTGTCATAGTAGGATGGATTTTCAGTATCGTCAAGGGAATTTCCCATATCTCCTTTCTGTACCGATTCCTCATTTTCTGGATATCACTTCTTTTGGGTGTACCTTATTGCTTTAGGGGGAAGCCAATCCTTTAGAAGACTTCTTGAGAAAAGGTGAATGGGAGACAAATAATTGTTAGATCTTAAATGTTAGCAAGTGTTTGTATTCTAGTTTGATAGCCCTGGGTACAGTGTTCACTGCCCTCTTATCCTCGATTGTTTACATGTGACCTGTCTTTTACAATCTTCCTGGTATTCTGAAATTTTACAGCAGTGGTTGGTATTTTTCATTTATTGTGCTGGGTGTTCGGGAGGACTTTTCTGCAGGTCCAGAAAATGTTCTTGTACTATTTCTCTTGACATTTTTCTCTTGTGGATCCTTACGGTAGGCTGTTGGGCCTCTGGGATTGGCCTTCTGGTTTCTTCTTTTTTTCTGTCCCATTTTTTTAAAGGTTTTGAGGTATGTTCCTATTTGCCATATATATACAATACGCACATAAATGTATATTTATCCATGTAATTTTAGCTCTCATATTTACATTTCTAAGAATGCTTTCTTATCCTAATAATAATGTCTGCTTATTCCTTTTTCTTAATAGCATCCTGACCTTGTTTTAACGATAGCTTATCTTCTCTTTCTGAGGTCATTAAATATGTTTTTTTTAATTTTCTTCTTTTTAGTGCGTTCTCTCTTTTTTTTTGAGTTTTCTTTCCTCCTTGCTTCTGTTTTGATGTCTCTATCTTTTATGGTAGAGGCTTTCTTCAACTGTCAAGCCATCACTGGTTTTCTGTTCATATTGTAAAAGTTAGAATGCTGGAAGCTCTGTGTGCTTACACTTGGCTTGTCAACTGTAAAGTGCACTGTAGAGTAACTGGGTGATGAGTTGGCTTTTTAATTGGGAGATTCCTATGTGTCAGGACCTACAGAGTGTTCTCTAAGCACATGACGTATTTATTCGTGTAAATGTGTATTGAAGTCTTGAGAAGATTGAGATAATTTCTATTACGGCAGCACAAACAAACAACAAAAAATTCACTGTGAGATATGTGGGTGGGTTCCTAATGTGGGTGGGTTCCTAAAGCTCTTCCTGCTATTTCTGCACCTTGGACTCTATTTCCCCACCGTATTGCTTATCATGGTCTGCTCTCCCCATTTTAAGGTAGAGCTATTAGGTTCATGCTGACGTATGTCCTCAGAATAATCAGCTTCACGAATTCTTACGAATTCTGAAGACAGTTCTAGCCCAAAGAAGAATCTTTTTTTTTTTTTTTTGCGGTACGCGGCCCTCTCACTCTTGGGGCCTCTCCCGTTGCGGAGCACAGGCTCCAGACGCGCAGGCTCAGTGGCCACGGCTCATGGGCCCAGCCGCTCCGTGGCATGTGGGATCTTCCCGGATGGGGGCATGAACCCGCGTCCCCTGCATTGGCAGGCGGACTTTCAACCACTGCGCCACCAGGGAAGCCCAGAAGAATCATTCTTAAGTTTGTGCCACATACCCAACTATTAGAGGTGAAAACTCTAGTAGTTACATGATAACTATCAAGAAACTTTACTTCTGGACTGGTGCCAATTTACATATACTCCTTATTTCTGTAATTACTGCATGTAGATCCATTCTACGCATCATGATAATTACATTTATCTTGATGTACCTCCTTCTCCTTGTTTCAGTGACTCTGCTGAAACCACATGTTTCTTTACCCTCTTGATGCCTGAGATTTTCTCCATTTGGGGACAGTCACACTAGACTGTCCCGCTGTGGGACTTTCAATTTAATGCTCTAGACCTCTCGTCTAACATATTGTTGAGAGTTCCTCCCCAAGCCCTCAAGGTTATAGAAACTAGTTGTAGACAGAGCTGGATCCTTAAACGTGATTTCCTTTATGTGGACTCACATACTTGATCTTTCTGGTATTATTGTAACTTGACCTCCTAGCAGCATTTAATACACTGGATTGGTTTCTGCTTCTTAGAGTTTCCCTGGATACCACTCTCTCCCAATATTGCTGCTACCTCCTATCCCGTTGGCCACTCTTTTCTCTCCTCCTGTGTTAGGTCCACCTCCTCAACCTGACCTCTAATGTAAGAGTGCTTCCGGATCCTGTACTCACCTCTTCTCTTCTGTCTACCAGGTCTCTTTAGGTGATGCCATCTAGTCCATACTTTTATGCTAATGACTCCCAGACATTTAACTGTGTTGTATCCCCAGGACTCCTGACTCTAGTTGCCTCCTTGACATCTTCATACAAATGTTCAATAGGCCTCTAGTGCTTAGCATAACATCCTAACTACCCCTTACATACCTCTTTCTTCCCATTTTGGAAAATGGCACCAAAATCCAGCTACTTGCTCAAGCTCCTAATCTGACAGTTACCCTTGATTCATTTCTTTCACTTTACCCACAAAAACTATTTATCTACAAACACTATGGGTTCTACTCCCATAAATACCTTGAATCTGTCCAATTCTCTGCATTTTCTTGACTCTTACCTTAGACAAAGACATCATAATATTTCTTCTAGGCTACCGCAGTAGCTTCTTACCTGGGATCCCGGCTTCCAAGCTTGCACATAGCAAACTTTTAGAAGCATAAATCAGATCACGCCACTGCTTAAAATCCTCCAAGTCTTATGATCTACAGAACCATACATGTTCCAGCTCTGGTCTACCAACCCTTCCTTTGGTTCCTCACAACACCAGGCTCATTCCCTCCCTAGAGTTTTTGACCCAGCTCTTCCTCTGCCTAGAATGAGCTTCTCTCTCATTCTCACAGCGCACATTCAATATTCTCTTCTTATCTAAAAAGTCACCGCCTCAGAGAATCCTTCCCAGGGTACCCACCTAGAGTACTTATTCAGTCATTTTCTCTACCATCAGCCTATTTTAATTCTATGGATAACACTTATTCCTCTCTGATATTTTTGTTTGTTTATTGTCTGTCTAACGCCCACCACTCCTTGAGAGAAGTGACCTCATCCATCTTTACTCAACTAGTATCATCAGTGCCTGGAACTAAAAAAAAAAAAAATCACTCAGTGCCTATTTGTAGAATGAATGGATTAACAGATGGCCTTAGAGGCCATCTAGTCCAACTTCCTCACTTTCAGAGGTGAGAAAACCAGAGAGAAAAGCGACTTGCCAAAGATGATGTAGTTCTCAGGCTCTTTGGCTTATTGTTTTAAATTTGTTCATCGTTATGGTGACCTCAACTACATCCCAAAGCAACTATCTTTAATTATACTCTTGGCTCTGCCAATCTCATTTGTTCATCATCTCACCTTAGGGTCATATCTTATTAGCGTTATCCTACCCAAGGGTGTTTGGGATAGGAGCCAACTCTACATTCTATTGTGTCAGTTGCCATTAACACAGGTCATATTTTTCCCGGGGCAGTTATAAGCTTTTTTTATAAACTTAGAGAACTGACTTTTTGGCTGTTCTCACCTGCTGACCCACTAAAAACCCACCTTTTTACCAAACTAGATACTTGATAGTGTTTATGTGTAGGGTAGAATTATAAATCTATTTTGTCATCATGGTAGTGGCCCAGTTTACAGGGTAATCATGGTTTGGCAGAAAGACCTTCGCCTTGGGAAGCCTGGTTTTTCGTCCATTCTATTACTCAGAAGCTGTCTGAGCTTAAGCAAGCCCTTAATACTCTAAGCTTCAATTTCGTAGCCTGTCCAGCTTTGCCATGAGCAGGGAGAAAACAACAACAACAAAACCAAAAATACCAATAACCACTCTCTCTCACTTCCTCTCAACCACTCTCTCTCACTTCCTCTCACTCTCTCCCCCTTTTTTTTTTTCTTCTAGTTTTTGCCCGCACAGCATGCAGGATCTTTTCGGGATCTTAGCTCCCCGACCAAGGATGGAACCCGCACTCCCTGTAATGGAAGCACAGAGTCTTAACCACTGGATTGCCAGGGAAGTCCCTCTCGTCCCTTCTTTATTTGGAATAACAATATGAAAATTCACTTCACAGGGACTAAGTGAACTTATTAATAAACCAGTTATTTGGATTAAATCAACTCATGAATGAGAAGACATTTTGCTAAGTGTAAAATGCATTACAGATACAAGGGATTAAATGTAAGGGATTGCTTACATTAATCAGTTTCTAATGTATTAAATATACAGCCGTCAGTAATTGTGATTTTGGTTAAGTCCCTGTTACATGTCAAACTTGCAAAACAAGTGTCTTCTTATCCCGTATACTTTTGAGTAATGATTTTAATTATTCTTTTTAATAAAAGTACTGTGTTCACCGTAACTAATCCAAATGATATAAAATGAAAATGGAAAAGTCTACTTTTTCACCTCAAACTCCACAAGTATAAGCCCCAGAAATAAGCAGTTAGCATTAGTTATTTTTAGTTACTACTGTTACTACTCATAATAGCTAACATAATGATAGTTTAGTACTTCACTGTGAGTCTGATGTTGTTAGAAGCACTTCATATATGAACTTATTTTGGTGCTTACAATAACCCTATGGCTTAAATATTACTGTTATCCTCATACGTGAGCAAACTGAGGCACAGAGCTGGGAAGCTATCTGCCTGGTGTCACACAGGCATTTGGGCTCAGGCAGACTGGCTCCCAAGTTCACGCTCTCAGTCACTATAAGCAGTGTATCTCGGACACCTTTCCATTTGCGTATACAGAGATCTACTGCGTAATTTTCGTACCTACAGAACACTCCATTGTGTGATGGCGCTTATCAGCTCCCAATTGATGAGAATT